ACTATATTTCTTACCTTAATAATCGGAAAACGTTGAAGATTCTTCACAGCGTCATATGGACGCAAACGTAGGTCAGTATCTGTTTTGCTCCAAATTTTCCAGAACGTCAATAGCAGAGAATCACCTCTTCTAAGACATTCTTTTAGATGTTTATGAGCACTTTCGACACGGTTGTTTATGTGGTTACCCGGGCTTAATACATGTCGCCGGTAACAACGGGCCCACATTGACTTCCGGGCAATCCAGTAACCTTTGATGTAATCATACGCCCGTGGGAAATGGATCCTCAGATGTTCGTACTTTTGAGTAAATCTGAATATAATGCGTTACGAAAAACGAAGCTCACATATCAGACCGTCTAGTCTTTACAAGGTGTTTCAAACATTTACGTACATCAGGATTTCGGAACTACAGAAAATAATTTGTACAGCTAACACTTACCTTCCTGAAAAATTCTCTTAAGACATGGAATGTACAAAGTACTATGTCGGCATGACTGTGCGTAGACTGCACTGCTGAAATTTTGGTTGCTGCCGAATCCAAAAGAGCATGTATCATAAGTACAGCACATTATATCTTTGAAGAATTCCAATAGTTTTACGACATCTTCGCGTCGTTCTTGCCTGCAAAGCGCATACATAACAGTGTGCCCTTGCCCAAGACTATCAGTCATCACTAGCTGGAACAGTGGAAAACTGTAAGATAAATAAATTGCTATTCGTTACTTCCCCAACTTTGTTGGTCTGATAAGTCGAGTCAATACATATTACCTCTGGTAACGCGTGGTAAACAGCTACTTGCTTCCTGCGACTGAAGCAAATCATAGATCCCAAGCTCCGAATTTTGGGGAAAATCCCCAACGTTTGGGGTTTTTGTGCCATTTCACCAAACGTTTTGGGGTTTCCACAAACTTTAGCTTTTTTCCACCCAATTAGGGGTACCTCTACAGAACCGTTTTAACGCAACAGTTATACCGAAATCTGCGGATAACACGGAAGACCTAGCGATAATACATAGGTACATTTCTGACTGGGATATAACATTATGTTTCGTCAACTACATGTTGCCAAAGAAACTGAACGTCAATCGATTTATCGGTTTCATTAAAAGACCAATTTTTGAAATATTTAAATGTTTATTGTAGTTAATAAAATTACACATTATTCATTTATACGACGTTTTTCATTGGTTCGTTCCTGTAACACGTTATGCAGAAGTTGAACTATCATTTGGTAGGTTCTGAAAAAAAAATAAAAAAGACTTTTTAGTTTACAACAACATATGAAGTTATGTGAAACGTCAATGACATACTAACAGAATGACCATGCTTTCAATAATCAGAACAAATAACTAACAGTTACGTCAGAAAAAGCCTGCGAAGCCAGCTGAAAACAGGAGGAATATGACAAAAGTTTTATCACTATAAACATTGATCACAAAGTAATAATCGAAGTGCAATATACATTATTGCTTTGGCTAACCTTTTCTTTGGATCGCCATCCGCGTTTCTTAACTTTATCTCTTGCGTCATGCAAGAAAGCCTGGCTTGCTGTATCCATGGCGTGTATCAAATCCTTTTCCAGACAGGTCGCACTTCGGAAATGGGAACAGAGAACACCTATAAAGGTGTTAATGCAATAGTGTGTACTTTGAACGGTTGAGTAAAATTTGTACTTACTAATACCAACTTTACTGTGCGTTCCGTGCAAAGTGTAATTGTTAGCCAGTTTCGGCGAAAGCACGTAACCCAGACAAGCTTTCGCTGAATTCCGAGGATCGTCACACAGGAACCCGTTTAATCTTCTCACCTAAAATTTGTTCAAATACCTGTAAGAACTTACGAAGTAATCCCGGAACTGTATGTTATCTAAAACAGCTTCGAAAGAACGCAAGTCCTCATGCGTTCTTAACGGTAATGCGATAGCTGCAGTGTCTACGGGCTCCGTACTTCTGTCAGTTACACCCATGGATAAGCGTTCGTGGTAGGTTATCAATTTATCTATCTTCCTAGAGAGTTCACCTACCGCCTTCAGCAGAGTTCTGAACATTTTAGGGATGTCGTCGCCCAACCTTTTGTTTTAAGGAAAACAGTAAATGCAACTTACGATTTATCAACTGTCGTTGATGTACATGGAATGGGCGGTGATGAAACATCTGTTTTTGATGAACTACTTTATGAGTATAGATTAAATAGGTACATACTTGGCTATAGGCGAAAATCTTCCTGTCAAAATGTTTACAACTGGAAATTCAACTGGGGCAAATCCAGCTTCCACCTCAGCAACCTCTAGTTCTTCCGAGGTGCATAGATAGTCACAAAGTTTGAGACAGTATTGTTACACTGCTCTGTAGCTACCGTTGTACCAACTCCTGTGATGACAACTGCATTGTTGTCATCTTCGTCACTGCTGCTTAACTGATAATTTCTTATGAACTCATCTGTCAACTTGCGCAACCTTCTATAATAAGTTGATCTGGGACAGCCCAGCAACTTCAAGTCTCTGGCAGCTTGAGCCCTTCTTTTAGCAATCCTGAAAGAGACAATTCACTTAAGTCAGACTGAAGAACTACAGTAATCGAAGTTTCGGATAATCCTAGGAACTCACTTGCATGGCGTTCGAATTTTGAAAAAGTAGTTTACGGACGACAATGAATTGTCTCGTGTCTGTTTGACGTATTAAAACAAGGAATGAAAGTCGATAGACTATTCCTGAGCAAAAGTCTTTATTGTATCAAAATTAAAAAATTGTAATTGTAATTTATTGCTTTAATGTTTAATAATCGATTGCTTAGGAAATGTTATTCTGGAATGATGAATTCGGTAATTTCCCCAAACTTTGGGGAAGGCTGTTTCACTTTGGGGATTTCCCCAAAATATCTCCAAAGCTCCTCAAAATTTCCCCAAAGTTGGGAGCTTGGGATATGTTCTCAAAATTGTCCCAACTTGTAAATCTCCGAGATAACATAATATCATTGAAGACTCGTCCTATATCATGCATCATCACGATGGCATCATCTTTGTTACTTGAGGGATGGACGTTATCAGACATGGTGTGGCCCAACTCAATTCAAATCTAAAAATGTCTTAATTTGACCGCCTCTGAAAAACTTCACGAATTGTCGATGTGACGCACCAATCATCTTGAGACAGTTGACCTTCAAGTGCTCGCAACCTCCATCAGTGGACGATACCCCTGAAGCGTTGCCGAGCCGAAGTTCTGTTCGGTTCCACATTAACGTAAGTGCTTCCTATGAGCTTGTTATAATGTACTATTTTCCCCCCACTTCTAGTCATTTTGTATATGAGTTTCGCACGAGTGATGTATATAGACAAATCTACCAGATTCCTACGAGAAATTCATTCTTGCATCATAACTGACGTCAGTTCTTAATGAAAACCTACCATTTCATACACTTAAGTCCTCGTTTCATATTAAAACTCTTGATCACTAATCTGTTTTCACAACTCGTTTCATAAGCAGACAACATCCCCACGGGCTAAAAAGTTGTTCAAGGTCTGGTGAGATTAGCTATAGCTCTTACTTTTGCTGTTCTAGGAAATGGTTTAGTTTAATTAAAACAAAACTAAGCACATAAAGTCATATTTATTATTATTTAACCTGAATAAAGTTATCGTGATCAGGTCCAGTGAGACGACTGATGTTGGGATTTGAGCGTGATGGTCTGAAGTTAGTTCCATCAATATGCTTTCGCTTGCGAGTCATCTTAAATATGTGTTCATGAACATTAAGTGGTCGTGGTCGAGATCAGTTGCAATAAAGCAGTTGTATTCTTTCCTTGTCTTCCACTAAATATGGAGTTATATCATGCTTTTCATTGTTCATTCATGCTAGACTTTTCGAACCACGCTTCCCATTTTGTTTGCTCTCTTGTTTATATAGCTAATATATTGTGTTAGAAAATATATTTATGACTAACTAGACCCTACTGCTTTTAACCACCCGAAATAGGATTTAGTGTATTTAGTTTATCCGTTTTTGATATGGTTTTGCTGAACCGATAACAAAGTATTTCAAGCAAAATATGTTTCTGTCATATTTTATTTCTGTCTGTTCGGTATGGCGAATCCTTCAATACTTCGTTTAGGAAGAAACCAATTTTAAAATTCATATTAATTTAAGATAAACTTTTGACTAACTGTCAGTGTGTTTCCATTTGCGTTGATTTATTTAGTCTAAAGTTACTTGATTGGTTTCAAGACATTTCTATTGTCTGAAAATTCACTAATACTGTGCAACGTGACTTACTCAGTTTGATAGACGTTGTAGTTAATAATCATATATTCGATGTAGTTGGATACACTTGAGTGCAACTCTAATCCTTTTGGGGCCTTGACTGATACATCTTTACAAGGTTTGTCTTTCCTCTTTCGTCGCACCATGAATTATCTTTTAATCGTGTATTAGTCGTCTGGTCCATCCAGTTCTCATAGATCCTGTTCGTAGCTTATAAATACCGACGCTAAACAACTCAAAATACGCATTCATACGTTTTATTAAAGGTAAATATAGTTAACAATGATCTGCTTAGTCACGGACGTTTTGATACAATTGATTTTTTAATGAAATTTAAGTTTCATGGTATTTCCTGGTTCAACGTGCGCTGATTCATCTTAAAGTAATACAGTTATTTATTTTCAGACTATCTGGAATAGTATTTGCTTCTAAATTTTTTCACGGACTTAATATTTTAAATGATTATCCAGTTTTTATCACTTTTGTTGATATTCATGCTGTTATTATTTCCCAGAATTTTCCGGTTTGTTCGTCTTGAGCCGTCACCTGGCACTTAGTGGTCTCTTCACTTCAGAAGTATTTGGTCTCGAAATAACAATACAGTAAATCGGTTGATTTCTCGATGGTTGGCGACTGTGGGATTTTCATTTCATCAATTATTCTAATCCATGTTTTGTGGGGACATAATGATTCTCTTACTTTTGGGACTTTTAAGTTAAATAATCAACCTATACATTCGTTTGTATGAGGAGCAAAAAGAGCCGTCATAAACTGGTCGCTCTCAACTTTCTATCCAATATTTCTCTTGATGGGAGACATGAACATAAACCTAATGGAATTGGCTATCACTCTTCTGTCCCGTACGTTTTCAGTGCTGGTAAGTATTTACGTTACTCTTGAGGCTTTTTTAGAGATATATCAACCGAATTACGATTCCATTCTATGTAATTAGCCACAGTATCGAGTTTCTAAACGGTTGCCTGGTTTTTCTCCGTAAACCATGTATCGAAACATAGAACCATATGGATGCTAGTGATATGACTTAAAAGTATCATTTCATTCATGTCTCTTTCTGTGCGAGAATCGAAGGTTCTCGAATGGGGTGTGTTAGTTTCTTCAGACACCATTGGTAAGATCCTCAAATGCATAACTTTGATCTCAGTGACTGATAAATAACTGGAAAATATTTATTTTTCAACCAGCTAACTTTTGTTTTACCCTATTATCTAATCAACACTTAGTACATACCTACGTCCTGGTTTGAATAAATACCTAACTCTTCTAAAAGGCTACACTGTATATTCTAAATGCGATGCATTCCATGGAGTCACGGATAAACTAATAAGGGGTGCTTTTTGCCTTTTATAATAAACAAGATCTTTGTAGATTGATGTTTTATAATTTGCTTGTTAAATTGGTTTGTAACTGGTTCTTAACTAAATAGCAAGTATATGTCTTTTACATGAAAAATGCTTCCTTTAATTAATTTATAGTTAATAGTTGCATATGTTGACAGGTAAGGGTATGTACATTTTTATTTATTTGTTTTTAGGACAAAATAGCACAAAAATTTCTCCAGTCAACTCTTCTTATGAGCAGCTAGTTAATGATACATTTCATGAAATATCTGAAGAATCAGTACCAACCAAGTTTTCGCGAGTACCTGAAAGCATCTTAAGTCCGGTGGGATGTGCCCAGAATTATGCTTCATGCAATAGTTTTGTTGATACGCATCTACAAAGCAATAGATCTCAAACATTTTCTAAGGTTTCTGTTTCAAATGTTTCCTCTTTATACGTTACAGATGTACAACTGGGTAGTGAAAAGTATGTTAAATATTAGCCACTTTTACTTATTTATAAAATCTTTTAAGTCTTTGATACAGATTTATTTTTGTTTTATTCCTCAATTATGTTTTAAACTGCTCCTAACTATGTGGTTATGTTTTCACTTTAATCTCATCCTGAATAGTATATTTGTTATTAATTAATGTATTAATTATCCACCTAGTTGTCATTAAATGTAATCACTTGTATGTGTATGTGATCGTTAATCTAATTCAATTAATTGTAATTTATAGCTATCATATGTGTTCAGTCAGTACGTCGAATTGTGGTTCATTATTATAGGCCTTCAGTTTACAACCACATGGTCTTCGGTACATTTTCGCTTCGTTTAATTTTAACGGGTATAATGTATGTATAGTCCCCAAATAATCCTTGTGACTCAGTAGCCAGTACACCACTGAACTATATCACTTGTAGGTGCAAAATACTGATCAATAATAGGTTGACGTACTTAACTTTTAGCTACTCCTATTACCATAGGCGAGCTGCTGTCTGAGTCATCGATCATCGTTGTCTCCGAAGGATTGCTGGCATCCAGTGGCAACACCATGTCAGTAATGCAGAGGTTCGGCATCGAGTGTTCGGTCACAGAGACGATAATGAAATTGGTGTCACCATCTTGAAACACCGACTTCGGTGGCTTGGACATGTTCTACGAATGTCGTCCCAGAGAATTCCTCGTCGTGCATTATTTGCCGACTCTGGGACTGGTTGGAAAAAGCGGAGAGGTGGTCAGTATATGACATGGTGTCGTGGTATGAAAGAAAGCTGCAAAGGGCTAGCTTATGTTGGTCCTTCACGACTCCCTGGTTGGGGTCCGAGAGATGGTGTAACGCAGTGGCTAGAGACGTTATCAGATATGGCTCAGAATAGAAGCCAGTGGCGATCCTGCTGTAACCTTCTTTTACTTTCTTCATAAAAAGGTGGTCGTATTCTTCCTTAACTGAAAGATCTGTTCTGATTGTACCTTTCCGTTTCCCCCACCATTGTTCTCTCTCTCTCTCTTCTTTTTTTTTTTATAATTCCCCACGTTCATTACTTTTTTTTTTTTCTTCTCTTTTCTCCTTCTCTTCTAATTATCACTGTTTTGCGTGGCGCATATATATTTGGTGCCCCCCTGTACCAATATTTATGTGTTCAAATAAATAATAAATAAATAAACTCCTATTACATAAGCGATTAATATTCTGTCTAGTTCCCCGGATAAGAATACACTGAGCGGAGGATGGATCTGTGTTTTTGTAGTCAGAAGTTAAGTATTAGAACTGCCAAGTCACACTTGCAGTTGCATTGTTATTACTGTTGTTACTTCTCTAAAATATATCATAAGTCGTGAATTATGTATGCTAGAAGGTGAGTTAACCTTTTTTCCAAACCCTTGGTGCTTTAGGTTGGGCAACTTCTAGTGCTTAGAGATCATGGGGCGTTAAAATCAGATAAGGTGGTTTCTGTTTTCTAATTTATGACAAACTCCCCCCAACTATCCTCCTATATTACTAGGTGACTTGTACTTTCAGGTTTCCAGCTAGTGTCACTATGTTTATTAAATAGGCATGATTGCAATCACTTAATTGATTGGTAAGACAAATATAAGTTTGCAGCAATCCGGTTAACCAGTGCGGCTCTTGTCTGGATCTATTGAAATTGAGTACTAGTTTCACAGACTCACTGGGTTTCCTCATAAGAAACAACAGATGATGAACTTATTCCTAGTATGATATGTTGAACAAGAGTTAGGCCTGACAGGTATTATTTTGATTGAAACTCGAGTGACTTATAAAATCTGTATCTTCTAATCGCCTACGCTTCAGTTGACTTATAATCATACTTATTTTCATGTACATTCTTTGTACCTAAGCACGTCATTTTATTAGCATGAACATCATGATACTACTGAGTCATGGGTACCAGAACTAACTGTTATCCTAAGAAGCTATCTTTTAGTATTTGACTAAATTGTTAAGTCTCCGTAGAAACGTCCCAACTCAATATCAACTGTTTACTAATTGAGATAATAACTAATTTATGGGCAACCAACTTCTGTTCAACTGGCCAGTGTCGTAATTTTTTCTCCCAGCTTAAATATATCTTTAAAATGAAGTGTAAATATTCCAGTCGTAACTAGCTGATATTTCTCATTAGTTTCGCTAGTCGGTGTCACATATTTTTCAAAAAGTAATCATTTTCTATTCCAGACAAGAAAACCTCACCGATAAACCATCTTCGAGCAAACTGTCAGTCAGTGAGTGGGACATGCTCTTTTAATATCATATTTTTCAAGCTGTGATTTTGTTGTGAAGCTCATCAGTACTAATTTGAGTGTCAGTATTGTGTAAGTGATTACCGATGTCATCTGGTATATTGATTCAGCTCTATACTGTCTTGTCAAAAGAACGTTTTCATTGGTATTAGAACCTGTCGTCCTAAATTTACACGTGAATGAAACCAGTAATCAATGTATCATGAATTTGTCTTGGTTTCTAGGTGGCTTCACTCCGCACCCAATTCATCACCAGAACACTAGTCGGTATCACATAGTAATACTAGTTATATGAGAAAGATTTGTGTACTGCTTTTTTATTTTAATATATGTTCAATTTGTTTTAATTAATTTCTCGTAAAGTCATCTGTACAATATAATCGGATTTTGGGTATTTGAATGAGGAACTGAAGGTTGACATTAATCTTAATGTGTATTTATGTTTATGGTATTATCTAGTTCGCGTACCTGGAGTTCCCATTATCACTTTCTGTGACCGCTAGCGTAGATATATGGTGTATGCTACTTATGTCTGTCGACATAAATAGTATCCAACACGTCAAAAGTTGAATAATTGCCAGCAGAAGGCTGAGAAGATCAAACTGAAAAAAATAGGAATTGTGAATTGGAAGAATCAGACAGAATGTAAAGGACAATTAATAGAATATTTGCAAATAAAGCATTTAGTGTATTGTTCTCATATTTTACGAAGACATTCTGTAATTTTGTATGTAATAATAAATGGGTTGTCCCCACCCGTGTTCTCGTTCATTGCAGATATAGCTGTATCTTAATAAGCAGAACAGGCTTGAATGTAGGTCGATGAAAAGCCCACGGAATGTGGTGGGTAGCGAAAGCAGAAAAGATGAAAAAGTTAACAGCGATAGGTAGCAGTAGACAAGTGTTCAGATTTATCAAGGAAACGATATTAAAAGTCGGTCTGTTAGTGAAACTATCTCGGAAAAACATGGAACTATTATTCACTCTTAACCATGGAGATTAGACTTATGAGCAGAACACTTTAGGGTATGGTCCAACTGGCCTTAAGCCATACTTCAGTTACCCACTATCTCCGAGCAATAGGAATGGCAAATTGATATATGTCCTCCAACCCTTAGTAGGGTTGCAAAGGCTACAGAAGATCTAAAGTGAGGGAGAGCATCAGGGCCTTATGGACTAACCCCTGAGAAGATGGTGGTCCAGTTTTAGCAGTCAGATTAACTGAAATCTTAGCTAGAATCTGAGATCTGGACATAATCCCATCTGATTGGTCTCGATCTCTGAAAGGACAAAAATCTTATGACAATCACAAAGGACCTAGGTACATCCGTTCTTTATCTTCCTCCGAATTCTGAGATTCTAAATCCCCCAATGTTTTTTGTTTTACTAATCTATATTTTCTCGAATCGTCTCTTCCATGCCTAACCATTACTATTACAACTGATACTGTTACTATTACCTCTACTATTCTGAGATTTGGCCCGACAATTTTATCTCTCTGTGCTAATGGGGTATGGCAATTTTAATCGATATATATGTGCTCTACGTTGTAACTGACTGACTGTAACGGGATAGAAAATTCTGTTCAATAAAAAATAGGAAAATGCTAATCTAATTTTGAACATTTTGATTGCAAGTGCACTATTTTAATAATAAGATTAATCGAATCTGAAAATTTTCCACAAAATGATTAGCTGTTCATTACAAGAATTGGGGTAACATGCTAAATTATATTACTTCTCATTATTAATGCAGATGTATTATTTTAACAGTCTTACTTTGTTTTAGCTTATAATGCTTATGGCATTAGCTAAGGGAAACTCACAAATACGGTGCGGGCCGTTAACATTACATACAAAGACTGCAATATATGTTGCAGAACATTTACTTTGTACAGGCTCTCTACTCGAACACCACTGGTCGAGTCAGAGCATATGGCGAACTGTTGTCAGATTGGTTGCTTCAAATGGCGTTCGTCAGTGCTGTCCACATTACCCATTTTTACCCAATTGTGTCATATACATGCTTTTAGAGAAAACATTTATCGTCTGAATTTTGGGGTTGATCTACCAGGAGATTCACTTGTTGACTTAAAATACGCAAAAGATGTAGTTCTACTTGATCAAGACATCAAAGAAATAGTTTTCTGACCATTTTAGGCAACAATACCAGCATGTTCGGGATGCTACTCTATCCCTCCATATGCAAAATGTCGCTTCAGGATTGACCTGCGTTAGCGCCTAAATTAATGATAGGGGGGAAAGTAGTTGAACGCACAGACCGTTTCACTTATCATGAGAGTCCCATTAGTGCTGATGGTTTGTTGTCTGACGAAATCTCGTCACGGATTCAGAAGACTCGATTGTCTTTTTCCAACCTGCGTCACTCGTGGTGTAGTCAAAATATACCTATAGGTATCATACTCATCCCAAAAGGTGAAAGCTGTCTCATGGTCATTCATTCAGTCATAATCAACGTACATCTAACATCAACTGACAACGAAAAGCACTGGAGGTGTCACGTATACGCAATGTTATTCAATACTACCGTCCGTAACCTCTACTCAAACATATATTCCAAAGGCAATTAAATCAGAAGTAGAGAACGAAGGTATACTTGAGTCGCTGTCGGTGTGTATTCGATCTGATCTGACTAGTTGCTATAAGAGATGTACAACACGGCATACCCAAACGTGATTCGGTGCGTTCATTAAAATTAATAAGATCAGCATCAGTGTTGAATACGTACAAACTTTATTTTGGGGATTGATTTACCACGACATTATTTCCAATTTTCTTAAACCAATATCCCTAAATTATTTGACTTAACGTGATTTCATATAAAAGAGTTAGCCCTATTTCACAACTTTATTATTTCTCTTTTAATATTCTTATTTAGTTACTGATTCATCTAATCGAATCACTGAAGTGGAACCTAAGACTAATTTTAAAATTAAGCTATCTCATGAATCTGGTAATATCAGTTTGGAAGACATAAAAGGACTGTGTAAAATGAATCCAAAATCAATGCAAACTAATGCGTTATCCATAATTTCTAAACGGTATGTTAATATTTATCTATTTGTTTGAACACATAAACATTGGTATAAGGGAGCACCAGATACATATGCGCCACACAATAACAATGAGGTTGTTAAGAGATGGAGAATGTAAAGTGCGTATAATAAAAAGAACAACTGGGATTAGTGTATGTGCGTGTAATAATAATAATAACAGTGGTAGAGGCAGTCCAGTTAGGAAAAATACAACCAGAACAAATTGTTTTAGTTACAGAAGTTACGTTCATTTCTATGAAGAAAACAAAACAAAGTTACAGTAGGATCGTCACTTGCTTCTATTCTGAACCGTGTCTGATAATGTCTCTAGCCACTGTGTTGCACCATCTCTAGGACCCCAACCAGGGAGTCGTGAAGGTCTAATAAGAGCATAAGCCGTTCTGTCTTTCACTATACTTGAATTAATCTCATCGCTCACACCTCCACCAGTACTTACGCAGCTATCCAGATACACTAACTTTTCGATTAATTTATCCGCTCACTACACAGGGTGAGTGCAGGATCAGGGTCCTGTCAGTCTTGTAAAAGTACTTTGCACTTTATTCCACAATGTTGGGACACTAATTTCCAGACCTTTGTAAATAACGCAGTCATTTCCCTAACCAGAAGATCGCCATCATCTTTAAAAAGGACCGGAGGTAAGTCATCTGGGCCTGGTGATTTGTAGCGCTTCAAGAGTTGGAATTCCCTCCGGACTTCCGCCTCGTTAGGTGGATCAGTCATCACAGGCCATGTGGGGTAGGACAGTCCGATCGATGTTGCCAGGGCAACAGACCAGTTGAACTGCTCTACAAAAAAATCTGCCTATCGTCCAAGATGTCGATATATGTTAGTGATTGGCATCCTGTCATCTTCACAGATTGTTTCACTCACACCAGACTTCTTACTGCCAATGGCTTGGATGAGTTGAAAGAGCTTCCGGGAGTTACTAGATGCAGCTGTTACTTCCAACTCATTGGCACGCTTCGACCACCAGGCTTCTCGGTCCTTGTGTAAATCAATGCTAACTACGACTGGTATGTTAATAAGATTATATTCTGTTAGATTCATGCAATTTCACCCACTTTATTTCAGGTTTTCGAATTCTCGTGTTTATACTATTTTCTTTGTAGATAGTAAGTATTCCAGTCAAAAAATAAATAGTTGACAAAAGTCGAGAGATACATTAAAAGTGGTTATGCTTTTTGTTTTGTAGATTTTTATTGTGTTAAGGTTCACTTGTCATGAAGTGATGAACGTGTTCTTCGTTGTACTGTATATTGATTCGTGCAATCGATTTTAATGTATTCTTCTTCTTGGCTTTTCTGGTTTTGACAAAGTTTAGTGTGTTTGGTTTTCCAGTATCTTTTTGATACTTTCGTGTGTTAGGCTAAATAATGTTCAACTCCGACTTGTATACGGTAAACGAAACTAATTCTATCCTGTTCTTCCCTTTCCTTGTAACTGGAGTAAGAAGTTCAGTTTGCATAAGAGCTATGTTGATCGAGTCTTCGAGACTACTTAATTTACATTCAAGTTATTCAGTGATATATCTATTAAGCGATTATTAATTTCAATAGTTTGCCAAACTGAATAATCACTGAACGCAAAATTACAATAAATTGATCAATACAAGGAAAAATGCATGTAAGATTGGGTAACTAACTATATACCGAATAATCTCTACAGGGGAAACACTGTAAAAGTTAATAGACAGAATTCACCATGCAAAAATTAATATAGCGAAAATGCCTTAAAGGTTAATTAGACGAAAATCACCTTAAATTGATAAGAGAATCCTAGGACTGATTTCCTTATTCGTTGTATTTGAGGATTTGACGTCACCGACACTCCCCCATCCCCTTTTGCATAATGAAGTGTTGATAACAACCCTGGTGTGTCTTATACAATCGTCCGTGACTTTATCACGGATTATTATGAAATAGAAAGTAGAATATATCAGATTTCTTTTGCAGACCTGCTATACTAACAACGTGTTATGGATTTCATCTATCAGGCTATATGTAGTGTGGAACATACTTCGATAAATCCATATAACTAAGAAACCTTGGAGAATCTAATTGATGTGTATTGTAATAAATTTACTGAATATTATCCTATGTTATGTCTGTCATTTGAGGGTAGTTTTCACTTCGCTAAACAGTTACACTTTTTGTAAACTGTATGGAGTGCGGTTAGTTTATCATCAGATGTACAAATAGTGACTTTTTGACTAACCGTTTTAAAGCACGTATAGTCAATCACTTGCAATATACACATCTGCTTTTGAAAGGCATATTTCAGAGCTGTAAATTAAGAAGAGAAAAACAACTGTGTATCATACTCTCCCTTTGATAGGCAGTTTAAAAATTATTAGGAATGTAAGTAGCGTGTGTGATTAATTTTAAATGAGGCTTTATTTATGTTAAGGTCATAACGCATCAGGATTGACAAAACTTTTGAGTGGAGTGATCAACTACCACTCAGCTACTCCATTTGATGTTGTTAAACTAAGAACTAATGCAGGTTAGTTTCGTGTCAGCATCTTATACTTTTAGTTGTATCGAAGTAGAATTTATAGTTATGAACTGCTAACCTACAGGTCAAGTTACATGCGTTTAGTCATATACAGATATTTTCATGCAGTTAGTTCCCGTTATGAAATTAAATAAAGCAAGAACAAATATTGATGCAGAATAGTATGAATTCATAATATTTCGAGGTTTCTCATCAGCTGCTTACAACCAAATATGTGATAAAAATTTACATTAAGATAGTGTAAAACAATTGGCATAAATGAATGTGCATAACTGGAATAATAACTATATATATATATATATATGCTAGAAAAGGTCAGAGGTTAATTGGTGTTAGAACTAAGGAAACAATTAAAGGTGGGTGATGTAATAGTTGAATGGAGTTTATACATTATGTGATAATTATTTTAGAGGTAATAGAACAGTGATAAGACAAGTTACGTAATAATTGGATAGAATTAGAAGGGTTGACATGATATAAGAGGATTAGTGGGCGGAAACGTGTGAATGGAAAGTTGGTTCAGAATTAGGTAATGGGGGGAATATAACCCAGAATGAATATTTAGAAAATAAAGTGAGTGAATAAAATAACACCAAAAAAAATTACCAGGGTAATGATAAGTTTATTAACGTCTCTTTTTGGATGCATAAATCCGGTCCAAGTTTTTTTATCGCAATCGCTTCCGCGAACCGGAGAGTAGTGGTACTTCGTTGTCTATTGATAATTTTGAAAGCGTGTGAGATATCAATGGTATGTCCAGTGTCAAGTAAATGCCGAGCTATCGCACTGTTAAGAACCTTCGTCCCCCGCAGCCTCAAGTTTTTTGGAACATGCTCAGAAATACGAACATGTACTCTTCTCTCAGTTCTTCCAATGTATGTGCTTTGGCACGTACATGTGAATTGGTAAATGCAGTTGGAGCTACTAAGAAAAGAGGACTTGTCGATTTTAGTTTCTTTGAGTGAGCAGTTCGTTTTCCATACTGTCATTAATTTTGCAGCTGGGTAGGCAACTTTCAAGGCTGAATTTAGTCTGTGATTAATTAAGCCAGCGATTTCATCTTTAAAACGTAGATATAGGAAGCAAGATTTCTTTTCAACTCTATCATACTTTGTCTGAGGATAGGTTTTTGCATATTTATGGATAAATTTCAACGGGTATGAATTTTCACGTAGAGCATTAGTGATGAGAGTGATCTCATCATCCAGGCATTCTTTTGAACAAATTTTTCGAGCGCGGTCAAAAAGGGTTCGTATCAAACCCTTTTTGTAACTCATTGGACAGAAACTATAGTAATTAAGATATAGTCCACTCCAAGTATTTTTATGATGAATGTGTCTCTGTAATGTGCCATCAAGTGTTCGTCTGATACCGATATCCAGGAAATGGAATTTACCTTCAACTTCCTTTTCCATAGTAAATTCTATATTCTTATGTGCTTTATTAAACAGATTGAGTAGTCTAATAGCATGCTTCTGATTGTTGCAGACAAGGAATGTGTCATCAATGTATCTACAGTATAGTGTAGTAGTAGTATCGATTGCGTGCTTAAGCACATTTTGTTCCAGGTATCCCATAAATATATCAGCAAGAATTGGGCCCAACGGGCTACCCATGGCAACTCCATCAATTTGACGGTAAAACACATTATTGAATTGAAATTGTATGTTTCTAGTACATAAAAAAGGAGTTGTTTAAAATCATGAATCGGTAGAGGTAGAAGTTCGGGATATTTACATATGATATCAACCGTTTCTTCCAAGGGGATGTTAGTGAAGAGTGATGAGACGTCGAATGAAACCATAAATTTGTCAGAAACATTTAGGTTGTCGAGTTTTTGCACGAATTCAAAACTGTCTTTTAGACTGTAGGGCGCTACTTTCTTTCGGATTGGTTCTAGGCATTTTGTCAGCCAGCGAGCAAGTTTGTGGAAGGGCGAATTGGTCATGGATAATATTGGTCTCATCGGGATGTCGTGCTTATGAGTTTTGGGTAGGCCATATAAGTATGGTAATTGTGATCCTTTGGGTTTAAGTTCGTTGTATGTATGATTATCAATTAGATTTTTCTTCAGGAGTTCTCTCAATTTTTTTTACGAGGCGTTTCTCGGTTGTCTTTCTGGGTATTATCGACAATAAATCTAGTGGAATCATTTAAAGTAGACATTAATTTGTTGATGTATTCATCTCTGTTAAGAACGACTACCCCTGAACCTTTATCAGGGCAAAGTAGCAATATTGTTTCATCTTTTATAAGTTTTTTTATTGCTAGTTGGTGATCTTTAGTTAACACCTTCGATTGTGGGGTTGGTGTCGTTATGTACTGGTTTGTAATATCAACTAAATTTGATTTTAACCAACTATGTTTTTCATCATTCGTGGGTTTGAGTTCTGACAATTGTTGATATAAATACTCAAACTGAGTTTCTGTGTCTATTCTGTTACATTTCTTCGGAATATGAAATTTGA